GGAGTAGGGAGACACAGGAAAAGAGAGTGGGAATGTGAGTGAGTGTGAGAGAGGGAGACGGAGAAAGAAAGGGAAAGGGAGTAGACATGGGAGAGGGTGAAGATGGTGAGATGAGGCTGAAGGGGAGATTGGGTGTCTGAGTTGTAGTGTGAGTGGTTGAGTGAGTTTATACCCATCATAGTATAAGTATGTGTTCAGATTATTTGTGCGAGTCTGTATGTTAGTGAGGGAGGGGAACAGAGGATAGATAGAGAAATAAATGAGAATGGGAAGATGAGAAAGAAAAGAGAGTTAAGTTTGAATGGGATTTTTTTTTTTTTCCAATTAAAGTGTATAAAAAGTTAAAATATGTTGTGAATAAATGAAAGCCATATGTGAAACACATACAAACCTCATTCTTCATAACTTTGGGTTATAAATTGTCCTTTTGTTCGTTACATTTTGAAAAAAAAACAATAAAAGGAATTTTGTGACTTGTTACAGTAAAACATTAAAGGAAAAGTTGTTTTTGTTGTTTTTTTATTTCAGTTACCTCTGGATGATTTAGACAAAAAAAATCGTCCTTAACCCATTACTGCCGAGTACATGTAATGTTTATTGTAGTTTTGTATGATTGTTATAATGTTATTAAAAATACTAATAGCAATAGAAAAGAAAAAAGAGGTGAAATGGGTAGCAGTACTAATTGGCTTCTTGGTGATTGAGGACTTGTGGAGACATCTTTGTTGTAAACACAATTAATAAATTAAAATCACATTGACATGGCATGTACATATGCATCTGCAGCATCACTGATTTCATAATTATCATATAAAAAACACTATTAGTTATTTTAAACAAGAAATTTAGCAAAGATTTGTACCAATATTGTGTGCCAATTCAGCAATACTTACAACACAGTAACTTTTAAGTGTAGTAATGCAAAGAAAATTGATCTTACGATTATCATAAAGAAAAATTACCTTTGTTTCGGTTTATTAATGAGCTTCTGAATGCATCTGTGTGCAGCCAAATAATTTATGAAAAATTCTTGAACTTAATTGAAAAAAGTACTTTATGAATTCAAACCACACTGAAGGACTATATTCAAATAAGTCATCATCATGATATTGATAATAATGATGATAAAACTAATAATACTAATAATAATGATAATGATAATATTGATAATAATGATAATGAATATGATAATGATAGCAATCAATGACATTGATAATGAATTGATAACAGTATTAATGAAAATAACAACAATAATAATATTGATGATAATGAATAATGAAAATGATAATAATAATATATCTATAACATAATATAATAATAAATATGAAATGCAGCAAGTTAAATAATCTTTTTAAGGCAATGCAAACAGAACTTACAATTATAATCAGCAATGAATACAATATCAGAATAGCTAATACTATTTTTCTCAATTCATTAATATAATTTAGTATTCAAATATCTAATCTAAAATAAACACATACACACTCACACACACACACAACACACACACACACACACACACACACACACACACACACACACACACACACACACACACACACACACACACACACAACACACACACACACACACACACACACACACACACACACATACACACACACACACACACACACACACACACACACACACACACACACACACACACACACACACACACACACACACACACACACACACACACACACACACACACACACAGAGAAAGAGAGAGAGAGAGAGAGAGAGAGAGAGAGAGAGAGAGAGAGAGAGAGAGAGAGAGAGAGAGAGAGAGAGAGAGAGAGAGAGACAGACAGACAGACAGACAGACAGAAAGAGAGAGAGAGAGAGAGAGAGAGAGAGAGAGAGAGAGAGAGAGAGAGAGAGAGAGAGAGAGAGAGAGAGAGAGAGAGAGAGAGAGAGAGAGAGAGAGAGAGAGAGAGAGAGAGAGAGAGAGAGAGAGAGAGAGAGAGAGAGAGAGAGAGAGAGAGAGAGAGAGAGAGAGAGAGAGAAAGAGAGAGAGAGAGAGAGAGAGAGAGAGAGAGAAAGAGAGGGGACACAGCATATACACGAAAACAGGTGAGTTTCCCCCGGTTTTCTATTTCGTTGCATGAAAGAAAACATCACTTACTTCTATTGGGATAGAGCAGCTGTGTGTTCGAGTACTGAATCAACATATATATTATGTCTAACCCAGAGAATTCCACACACCCGTGGAGATAATACAATAAACACCTTTTTTCATGAGATACATATAAGTAGTATTTATATAATTTTGGGTCAATGGACATGTAAATGAATTCCATACATGATTGCCTATTTCGAATAATTGCAAAATATAAACTTTGACCTAGATTCATAAAGCATTTATAATAATTAAAATATACACTCTCAATCAACCTTCAATGTTATAAAGTCTTTTGTGTTAGAAAGGCTAAATATAAATAATGGTAATGGAATATTGCACAGCATCATGATATGTGAATGCAAATGATAAATAGATATCAACATCAAATTGGTGCTATTCATTAAGAAGTAGTCGTGGTAGTAGTGGTTGTAGTAGCAGTAGTTGTTGTTGTTGTTGCAGTAATAGAAATAGTAATAGTAATAGTAATAGTAGTAGTAGTAGTAGTAGTAATATTAGTAGTAGTAGTAGTAGAAGTAGTAGTAGTAGCAGCAGCAGCAGCAGCAACAGCAGCAACAGCAGCAGCAGCAACAGCAGCAGCAGGAACAACAGCAGCAGCAGGTTATGATACTAATAATTATGGTGATGATTGTGATTACACGCACATAAACACACACACACATACATACACATATACACGCGCGCAGACACACACACGCGCGCGCGCGCACACACACACACACACATACACAAACATACATACGTACACATACACGCACGCACGCACGCACGCACACACACAACACACACATACACATACACATACACACACACACATACACCACACACATACACACACACACACACACACACACACACACACACACACACACACACACACACACACACACACACACACACACACACACAACACACAACACACATAATATATATATATATATAGTTATCCTAATCTTATCTCGTTATCTCTATTATCAAACTCGCCAATCTCTCCACCGAACACAAACATCAGTAGGCAGTGTCGCACGTGGACGCATGGAGAATGCAAGTAAGTTGTGTCGACGAGGTTTGGTTCAGAGGAAACTTATTTTAAGAATCAATATCAAGGTTCAGTCAGCTGTTTCGTATTTAGGGCTTCATGCATTCGTTTCGCAGAATCCGTAGCTTGAAAAGGATATTATGTAGCTATCACTAAAAGTTAATTCTCAGCATGTTTTGTGTTGAACGATCAGTTATTTTATATGTCGTGCAAGGATCAAAGTTAGTGTTGGTGAATTCGATTGATTTTACAGAATTATCGATATTCTTCGCGATTCTCCCTCGTATACAATTCCTAAAAGCAAAGCGTTTATTCCAGTAATAGGAGAAGAACCTAGAGTATCAGAGATGCTTGTATTTCCATAAGACGTGATTGCGATTTCTGAGAGGTGATTCTCCGTCATCTCAAGCGAAAATGAGGCGTCAGATTTGAATGCCGTGGTCAACCTGTGATAGGTGATTGTTTTCCCACTCTCTTTATGTCGTTTTACTAACTGCACGATTCGATTATCCCATTCGATTGTTATCCACGCCACAGAACTCCCAACCGTCATCACAAACGACTGTCCCTCACCACCCCTGGCCCTTGCAAACCTCGGCAAGGACGCCACGGTCAGCGCCAGAGTTCCGTATGGACGCCGCTTTAACCGAAAATAAGGTGTCCTGTGGATAAAACTGGATCCTTAGGTACTTTAATACTGTCTCTGGTTACCTGATGTGTTTTAGTTCTTGGTTTGCACAGTTGGTGTAACTTTTACTTCCATCGCTAAACTGCTAGGTGTTGATATGGGTGTGCAAGACTGAATTGTGAAAAGAGTCTAAAAGTTCTTAGAAGAAGAAAACGAGGTAGATGAAGATGGAGAGAGAGGGAAGAGGGAGAAGGAGAGGAAGACAAAAAAAAAAAAAAAAAAAAAAAAATGGAAAAGAAAAAAGACCTTCGCATTAACTCAATTGATATTAGAAAAGATGTCTTAATATAAAGTAATTTACACAAACTAAGGATTAACTTCACTGTGATATGTAAGTAATTCCCCGTCACATGCTTATTTAGTTTTTTTTTGTGATTGAAAAAGCTTAAGGATTTTTTTTTTTTTTTTTTTTTTTTTTTAGATAAGATAAATTACTGAAATAAAGTCACTTGCGAGCCATCAAACTGAGTTCTGCTTGTATAGTTGTGGGAATAACACTGACCCTTAAGAAATAGAAGAAAAATTCGGAAATCTGAAAACATAATATAGATATATCAGTCATTTGACAGTTGGGCAAAAGATGAAAAATGAAAATACAGAAGTCTAGGTCGATGAATTGGTCTAGGAAAGGAAAGGGGGGAGGGGAGGGGAGCGAGACCCAACTTCTGCCCCCCCCCCAACTCCTCAACTTCCGAGACATTCCCTATAAACAAGCAAACAGGGCAATTCCTTAATTACCCCTGCAACTGAGAGGGCAAAGACAAAATGGCGAAATAACCATCATGTCAAATATCTAAATATAAATGACGGACATTTTAGTGCGGAAAGTAATGAGTTCATTTCTTTAAAACTGCAAAAACCAGGACCCCGGTTTTTTTGTGTGAGGGGGGGGGCTACTTTGCCTCACCACTTCAAAATACTTTACTATGCCTATGTGTTTTATGCTGTGAATGTTGTCAGGGGCAAGAAACTATGTGGTGAGACTTGTAAGAGAAATCTTTTCGGCATTTCCTTTTACATGACAAAAGAAAATTCACACTACAGTTGGCATCATATACCCCCCCCCCCAAAAAAAAAAAAAAAAAAAAAAAAATCTGGTATCAGAGATGCTTGTATTTCCATAAGACGTGATTGCGATTTTGCTTGTCAAAATCTGGTACAGGGCTTGTCATAACGTAGTAGTTATTGCAAACTTTGTTTTGTCACATTTTCTTACATGGTCAAAACTTTTTGCTAAGAATATAATGGAAATATCCAGGAAGTTTCAGGTAAAGTCACAACTTTTCTACTGATGTTTACATTCATGCATATGTGAATTACATTTTAGATTATGCATCAGTTTGTCAGACACTATATTTGTCTATAACGTTTATACTGTGACGACTTCCAGATTTAGAAGAGAAAAGAAAAAAACTCCTGAAATTATGCTGTATTTTTACCAGTGGTTCAGTACTGTTAATAAAATCCTCTCTCTTCAGGCAGTCATCACAGGAAGGAAAGACCAAAGATCTCCTAGTGACGGCAAGCAGGACAAGGAAGATAGTACTAGAGGAAGGAAAGATTTTCGCGAAGAAAGGATGAAGGCTCAAGAGAAAGGATTCGAGTTCCAAGAGAACAGGGTGGAGCTAAACGGAAAAGGGGTGGAGCTAAACGGAAAAGGGGTGGAGCTAAACGGAAAAGGGGTGGAGCTAAACGGAAAAGGGGTGGAGCTAAACGGAAAGGGGGTGGAGCTAAACGAAAAAGGGGTGGAGCTAAACGAAAAAGGGGTGGAGCCAAACGGAAAAGGGGTGGAGCTAAGAGAAAATGGGGTGGAATCCAAAGAAAAAGAGGCTGAGATACTAGAGACAGAGGTGGAGTCAACTGCGAAGGAGAAAGAGCTGAATCCACTCGAAGAAAGGATGGATCCCTGTGAGAAAGAGGGAAAATCCCAAGAAGAAGGGAGCGAGCCCAAAGAGAAAGGGACAAAACTTCTTGCAAAAGGCGTGGCGTCTCAGAAGAATGGGGAAGAATCACGAAGGACGGACCAACCTAGAAACGGGGAGGAGGAGTCATCGGAGAACAGAATGCAAGTACCCGGAACTGAGGCAGCATCACTAAACAGGGAAACCAAAAGGAAGGAAGAGAACCTGGCGTCAAAGGGAGGTAAAGTGGATCGCTATTATGTCCTAGGTCAGCAAATGAACATAGAAGAAGACCTCTGTCACGAGTTCAAAGGTCACCGCAGCATCTCCATCCACGACCTTCACAACCTGTGCCTGAACACCAATGGGACGGCAGAGCGCAGCCGCAATGCCGTTTCCATGTACGTATAGCCTATAGTCCATTATAAGGGATCGAAGACTTTATATCATGGAACTAAAGGATCCAAGTTTAATTATCATTCTTTTTTATCAGGATATTGTAGAATGTATCAGTAATCTAGCTTTTATGTTTTTATTCCGATTGCAATTCGTTCTTCAAAGCTATGTGTGCTTATATCATGGAACGAAAGGATCCAAGAGTCTTATTATCATTCTTTTTTGTCGGGATATTTTGGAATGTATCAGTAATCTAGCTTTTATGTTTATTCTGATTCCTTCTTCAGAGCTATGTGTGTTTATACCATGACCGTAAAGGATCTAAGAGTCTTATTATCATTCTTTTTTTCGCAGTATATTGTAGAATGTATCAGTAATCTAGCTTTTATGTTTATTCTGATTCCTTCTTCAGAGCTATGTGTGTTTATACCATGAACGTAAAGGATCCAAGAGTCTTATTATCATTCTTTTTTCTCAGGATATTGTAGAATGTATCAGTAATCTAGCTTTTATGTTTATTCCGATTGAAATTCACTCTTCAGAGCTATGTGTGTTTATACCATGGAACTAAAGGGTCCAAGAGCCTTATTATCACTCTTTTTTGTCGGGATATTTTGGAATGTATCAGTAATCTAGCTTTTATGTTTATTCTGATTCCTTCTTCAGAGCTATGTGTGTTTATACCATGACCGTAAAGGATCCAAGAGTCTTATTATCATTCTTTTTTTCGCAGTTTATTGTAGAATGTATCAGTAATCTAGCTTTTATGTTTATTCTGATTCCTTCTTCAGAGCTATGTGTGCTATGCTGAACTCGAGTCACGGCGGCACGATTTATCTCGGAGTGGCAGACGACGGCATGGTGAAAGGCATGGGACTTACTAGGTAATGTTGGCTCTCTTTCTTGGTTATTTTCCGGTTAGAAATACAAGAAAGTGCTAATGGAATACGCAGTTGTTAACCGAGGGTATGCCTTGTCATTAGGGAGGTTCGAGCTCTAGGTATTTGTTTGTGTTTAAGGTTTTGATTTGTACTTGCGTAGAATGTTCCATGTCTTAAAACCATACTAGACATCGATATGTAAAGTAAATTCAAGCTATTGATACTGATGTCTCTCTCTCTCTCTCTCTCTCTCTCTCTCTCTCTCTCTCTCTCTCTCTCTCTCTCTCTCTCTCTCTCTCTCGTCTCTCTTCTCTCTCTCTCTCTCTCTCTCTCTCTCTCTCTCTCTCTCTCTCTCTCTCTCTCTCTTCTCTCTCTCTCTCCTCTCTCTCTCTCTCCTCTCCTCTCTCTCTCTCTCTCTCTCTCTCTCTCTCTCTCTCTCTCTCTCTCTC